GGGAGGAGCGTGTGGGATGCGTGGGGTCGTAGGTGTCTGGGTCGAGGGCTTTGAGCATGAGGGGGATGGTGGAGGGGTGTGTTATGTCTGCGCGCATGGTTGTTACGCCTTCGAGGGGGGACATGGGTTGGAGGTCGATGGCTACGATGCGGACTCCTTCCCTTGGTTTTGGCTTCTCATCTGGCTTCTCCTCTACCTTCTTTTCCACTTCTCCTTCTACACCCACCTCTTGCTTTCCCCCATCTTCCTTCTCCTTCTTCTCCCCACTACCGCCCAAAACATAATCCCGCATATTCTTCTGCTTATCCTGCCACCCCGCTCTCCCAAACTTCTCCCCCTTTATCAGCACGCGCGAGAGAACCTGACTCCAACTTCCTGGTGCGGCGCAGAGGTCCACGACGCGCGTTACGCCTTCGAAGAGGTTGAATTCTTCGTCTAGTTGGAGCAGTTTGTAGGCGGAGCGGGCGCGCCAGCCTTCTTCTTTGGCGAGGCGGTAGTAGGCGTCTCGTTTGTCTTTTGAGGATTTGCCCATTTTGGATGGATGTTATTGACGTCGATTGACGTCAAACTTCTGATCTTGAGATGTAGGTTTGGTGGGCTGTGTAGTTCTCGCACTGCAGGTAGGGCGATGGGAGAGTGCGAGGCTTCTGTGAAGATGTGCCAACCACGTCTGAATAGAATTTTCTCGTCAGCGTGTTCCTGCTCTTTCTATGTCTTATGCGTATCTCTTGTCATTGCCGATCAAGAAAACGTCAATCGATGAGTGCGAGTCATTCGCACGTGAAGTGTGGGAAAGCGCAAGTGGGCTAGAACAAAAGTGGGGCGAGCGGACTCCCGAAGGCCGACAAGTTTTCCAAAAAGTTCACGGCGCGCGCATCCAACCCACGACAAACCTCAATCGCACCACAGCCCACCATGAAGCGCCCCAATCCCGCCCCGAAACAAGCGTCGCATAAGGGTCACAAACCCAAACGTCAAAAACTCGACGACTTCCCCAAACCTCTTCCGCCGTCCACGAGACCCAAGCGCCGAGTCCAACTCAACGAGCTGGGATGGAAGACTGTGGAGATGCCCGATCGGTTGGAGGATACAGAGGGTTTCTACGGACTTGAAGAGATTGAAGATGTTGAGATTGTGAAGGATCCGGTTACTGGCAATCTTACCTTTGAGACTACAAAGACGGAAGATGAGGTGGCACAGGATGTCGAGGAAGCGTGGCAACGGGAGGAGGACGAGCAAAAGCGCTTGGAGCAGATTACCTTTGACGAGGAGAAGGTGGTAGGACAAGACGAGAGTGTAGGCAAGAAACTGCAGGAAGCAGATGAGGAGGTCGCGTGGGAGGGTTTCAGCGACGAGGAAGATGCGCCGACTGGGATACTTAAGCAAACTGCGGGTGCAGACGCTAAGGATACGGCTGGCGCAACCGCTACCAACGGCGAGCCGGAGGTGAAGAAATTGACAAAGACTGAGAAGAAGAAGAGGGCCAAGGAAGCAAAGCTCAAGAGGGAAGAAGAGGAAAAGGCCAAGGCAGAACTGCCGACACCAGATGAGGTCGAAGAGGAGGAGGATGCCGAGGACAACGAACCCTCCGATATCGAAGACCGCGAAGACGGCGAAACCTTCGGACCTGGCGCTTGGGATATATTGGCGAACCACGCCGATGACGACGATGACGAGACAGATGTGCGCGCATGGGCTAAACTCGACCTCTCCGAAGAGATGCTGGGTGCGTTGGCGAAGCTGAAGTTCTCGAAACCTACCAGTATCCAAGCGTCTACTATACCCGAGATCATGTCTGGGCGGGATGTTATCGGTAAGGCTTCGACAGGTTCAGGAAAGACACTCGCTTTCGGTATCCCGATCGTCGAGACATACCTTGCTGCTCGGTCGACACCCAAAGAGCCCGAAGACAAGGCGCCCATCGCGTTGATCATTGCGCCAACACGTGAACTTGCGCATCAGATCAATGATCATTTGATCGCCCTTTGCGCGAAGGGTGATTTCGACTCCCCGTACATTGCATCCATCACAGGTGGTCTGTCCGTACAAAAGCAACGCAGGCAACTAGAAAAGGCCGATATCGTTGTCGGAACACCAGGACGACTGTGGGAAGTTATGAGCAGTGGCTCGGGAGTACTACCCAAATTCAAGCAAATCAAGTTCCTGGTCGTAGACGAGGCTGATCGTCTGTTGAGTCAAGGCCATTTCAAAGAAATGGGAGAGATTCTCAAGGTCCTAGAGCCTGATGATGAGCCTAATGAGAATGACAACACGGAAGACGCGCCAGAATCTCAACGCCAAACTCTTGTGTTCTCGGCAACCTTCGGAAAGGAACTGCAGCACAAGCTCGCTGGAAAGCAGAAGTATGGCGGTGGAGATCTCATGAACCAACAACAATCGATGGAGTATCTACTCAAGAAACTTCAGTTCCGCGAGGAGAAGCCAATGTTCATCGATGCCAACCCGACTTCGCAGATGGCGAGCAGGCTACAAGAAGGGCTTATCGAATGTGCTGGACCTGAGAAAGATCTCTATCTCTACTCACTACTGATGTTCTACACCAAAAAGCGCGCTCTCGTCTTCACCAACTCCATCTCGGCAGTACGTCGCATCACGCCATTCCTGACGAATCTGGCTCTCCCCGCTCTACCCCTACACTCCAACATGCCCCAGAAAGCCCGCTTACGGTCCATCGAACGTTTCAAAGAACGACCAGGATCAATACTAGTAGCCACAGACGTCGCCGCCAGAGGTCTCGATATCCCCAAGATAGACCTCGTCATCCACTACCATCTCCCCCGCGCCGCCGACACCTACGTCCACCGCTCGGGACGTACCGCCCGAGCCGACGCATCCGGAGCCAGCATTCTCATCTGCGCCCCCGAAGAAGTCGGCGGCGTACGGCGCCTCGTCGCAAAAGTGCACGCCCGCGCCAGCGATGCCCCCAAATCAAAGAAAACCGCCTTCTTCATCCGCACCCTAGACATCGACCGCCGCATCGTCTCTCGCCTCAAGCCCCGCGCCACCATCTCCAAACGCCTCGCCGACACCGTCATCGCGAAAGAAAAGAAACACAGCGAAGACGATGTACTACGCCGCGCAGCTGAGGACCTAGGCGTAGACTACGACAGTGAAGAGTTTGAGAAGGAAGCACCTGGAAAGAGGGGCCGCGGTAGTGGCCGTAAGAAGAAGGAGAAGGAGGCGAGTGAGATGACGAAGGGAGAGATGCAGGCGCTACGGGCGGAACTCAAGCATTTGCTTAGTCAGAGGATTAATACGGGGGTTAGTGCGAGGTATCTTACTAGTGGAGGCATTGATGTTGATGCGCTTATGGCTGGGGAGGGGAATATGGAGTTTTTGGGTAATTTGGATGGGCTGGGGTTTGATGAGGTTGTCGAATAGTCGTGTCGAAGAGGATGATCAATTGTACGCAAGTTTAGGCGAACGGTTTCACGAACCTTCTAGGCTTTGTTTGGCTTCCGAAATAATAGACTGCGAGATTGCGAGGCGCAAACCGGGCAGCGCTTTGTGCGTTACTTCTGCGCAAACAGTGCATTAGTATATTGTCTCCGTCGTTCCGCGACTGTTCGTAGCTCATCATACAGAACGGTCTAATTGGTTAGTCTTCTCGATTTCTTCAAGCGCAACTATGAACCCCGATCATCAAACTCAGCCAAGCGTCGGTCACACAGCGACAAGAGAAGAGTCCTCCGCCACGGATACCGACGTCCCAACCACCACGGAAGTGCCTCGAAAGTCCCAGTTTGCTGGCTACATTACGCTTGAGTATCTCCAAAGCATGTTTGTGCAGTTCACAATATGGGCACCCACCATATACGGCTTGCTCCACTTCCGCGCCGGCCTTTTCACGAGCGATGTCTTCATCTTGGCTGAGTTGGCTCCTGCATTCTTCCTGCCAAACATATTCATCTGTGTCCTCGCCATCACAATCGAGTGCCTGCAAAAAACCATCGACGCGCAGAAGAGAACTCTAAGAGAAAATGCGGATACAGTAAAGGGATTACAAGACGAGAAGAAGGCGTTATCGGAGGAGCTCTCTGGGTGCATCCAAGAAAGGGAAGAAGAACATAGCAGGCATCGACAACGCATCAACGAAGCCCGTCTCAGGCACTTTACATCCCTCCACAAGCACCAAAGCAGCACCATCAGTTTCCTAGAACATCTATCCAGAACCCACACCAAGACCCCCGACTCTCCAGCGCTAGATATCCCGTTCGATAAGGTCTACATGATGCGATCAAGAACACAAATGCGACTGAACATAGCTGAGAGTATTGAGAAGATCCTGTACTCGAAAACGACACGCGCATTGAAAGATGAGGGAGCTGATGGCTTTATCCGCGAGGCAGAAGGCGATCTGGAGAAGGCGGCGGTGGTAGATGGATATTTGATGCACTTGGAAGATCTGGTGAAGAATTCTGCTGCTCCTGCTAGGGTCGATTCTGGGTTGGAAGTGAGGTTGAATGGGCATAGGGAGAGGCTGGAGAGGTATTGTGAGGGGGATTGGAGGGTTAGGAATTATTTGAGGAAGGTGGATAGGGCTGAGGAGCAGGAACAGGTGTAGGACGGGGACCAGATTAGACGTGGCGCATACATAAGTAGGGGAGCGGTGAAATGTTATATGTGTGCGAGCGTTTCGTACACTTCACTTATCATAGCAACTGTTTCTCATGAAGTCGCGCATCCAGTAGCGGATGTTTTCCTACAAGCGCTTGACAGTTGACACCCAGTCGCAGTTTCCCGAGATACGATGGCGTTTTCTTTCTCGCAAGGCCCCCTGGGCAAACTACGTGGGGTCATGTAACGTGGTTGCCTGATTGATGGGTAGGATGTCAACAACAAACAGCAAATGACGTAGTATAATCCTGCCCACCCTATCGCCTATATGAAGAGGTATTCTGTCGTAGCCAGTGATCTTTCGCATAATGCTACCACACCACGAGTCATCCCAAGGAAAGATAGCGATGGCAACGAGCGCAATGTCTACACCTGCCCCATGTTCAACCCCGAAGACGCTTGCCATGGATCCCAACATCAACAAAGACACGCTCACCTCGGAAGATGATGAGACGCTTCAAAAGATCGAGAATGCGATGATGGACGAGCTCGATCAGGTCCTGCGCAGACTTGCTAACACATCGCCGCATAAACGACGCTACTTCTCGCCAGGCGCGTTGTTGCTTCTTGTTCTCTACACACTGATCCACGTTGTGTTCATCCAGCCCGCATCTTCGCTCCTAGGTCGCCAATTCCTCATTCCCATCATTTTTATGGTATTCATAGAAGTCACCTCCGAGGCCTATCTGGAACGGATAGTAGGATCGTACGAGAAGATCGTTGACAGAATGAGAGACTTGGCCCGGCTTTCACTCAACATGGCACATACCTGTGAGAAAGCGCTGCAAGAGGCCGAGGAAGCGTCCGACCAAACCGCGGCGTACAGGACGACCTATTTCCGCGCCTTCCACCAAAAATTAAATGAAATGCGTCTGGAATACTATCAAGCATACCTGGATCACTACGGAACTCTCATCGGTTACGTCGAGCTCATTACCAAGAAAGCGAAGACCATGGCTGCGCCGCCTAAAGTCAAGGGTGCGAAGAGGAACTGCGGCAACCGCATCATGAACGATAACAACGGTCTTACGGAGTCTCTGGAGAACTTTGCTGTCACGCTCAAACAGCGGCAGTCCACGGCGAGGCTACAGATTGCAGTAGCGGAGAAGATCAAGGACATACTCGATCGCGAGGGCTTGTTACCGGAGGAGATCGATCAACTAGTGGATGCGGCGGAAGAGGATCTAGAGCGTGCGCAGGACGCGTCGAACGTTCGGACTCTATCACCGGGTTCCAGTACCTCAGACTCCAACGCGTCGCCATCGCCAGTCGCGGAGAGCGTTGATAGCAAGCTGGAGAAGCATTTCGAGGACTTGAATAGGTGGTTCCAGAGTGTGCGGGATCAACCTGTTGTCGCAGAGGAGAACTGAAGAGAAAGATGTCACGGGAAGATCGTGGTTGCCATGGAATCGATCATGCTGCATGGAAAGTGGATGAGGATGATGAATTAGGAGTACACCGATCCTGAGTGTGTTCCCCAGCGGCTTATCCCAAACGTACTCCTAGTGAGGAAAATGTGGCATGTACGTCCCTTACCTGTTCCCAAAGCTGCGTGATAGAAGTTCGCGATTGACGTTGTGTGATGTATTCGTGACTGGCCGTGTCCCGAGACGATGTGTGGGCAGGCAGGTGCTTTTGACTTCTTAGTAATCAATGACGTAAGCAGGTGCGCTCCAAGCTATGGCAATCAAAACCGTACCACCCTGGTTATCGAACCTCTCTGATGGACCCGACCCATCTTCTACAGTGACATAACCCTCTTCCACGACATGATAACGCAAGTGCAAGGGGAGTAGCAATGACATTCTCTCGTTCCTACGCTACCAGGTTCGCGACCGCGACGCGTCTCGGAAGACCATGAGAAGATGTTGAAAAGCCGTCCTTCGATCACGCAATCCAGCCAGGCCTCTCAAGTATGGCTACGATGACACCTGGCGTCGTTCCGCCGCCTGAATGATATTATTGACTGCATATCGACTGCCACCCTTTAGCCGGAGTCAGCCTTGGGGGTCAAGGCGCGCCACGGGGATCATCTCACTCTTGCGCAGCCATGCTCTACATTCCATTAATAGGGAGCAGAACTTGTATCCCTGGCTCTTTGCAACATCTTGCGCTGCCGATAGGCGGCGTTCAGATCACATGGCTTCTATTTGTCATGTAATCAAGAGCTGGGCACGTACCAGGGGTCTCCAGCATTCGTGTCGCATCTTCAAAATATCATCAATATAGAGGTACACACCGTTTCAGCAACTGGTTACTCTTTGGATGTCTGAATATATGTATGCAACACATTCCTAGCCACTACTAGTGACCATCACAACTTTGTTCAGCCTTGTGTGCTCGCTACGCGAAGCTGGGTTGGTAGCCTTTCTATTCGTCGAAACTTTACCGATCACCCTGCGATGGCTTGCACTCGCCTCTATCCGGCATAAGCTGAATGCTTGTATCTCGGGTCTGGTCTACGCTTACCTCGCGTACTTAACACACCCTTTCCGCTCTTTTGTCGAAGCGTTCACAGCTTGCATACCTGATCCCATCGGCCGGCAAAACTGCGATGGCTGCAGCAGATCCTCTTCCATGGAGGTATGGGCACTGGAAGAGACATCCAGAAGACTTGATTCCGCAGGACAAACATCTCATAGTCTCAATGTGTGAGACCAGCGTAAGTGCACGTACAGTCAAAAGATCTTGACACAGCTGAGGATATATAGGAAGGCATCAAATACAGCGAAAAGTCAGTACGCGACAGTAACATACCAGCGCTGTGTGCGGAAACGGCCGGATCGAGTCCGGGTACGAAATGGTCTCTGGAACTGTTAGCATTACAAACTTCCAATATGTAGTTTTCGCTGAACCCTTAGAAGCCTCATGACTGTCGTTCCAAACGTCGATGCTGGGCCGAGCGTTGTCCCGTATTCAATGGATGCTATTCAAGCTCTGCGCGCATGCTGGCAACTCCCATACAGCTACGTTCCTACATTGGGAAGTGGTCCAAACGTGTCGATGGCCTTCTCTCCTCTTCTGGATGATGAGCATTGGAGAGGTGAGTTGGCTCTGATGGGTTGTCAAGCGCAACGTGTTGAACCTGCCGACCAATCGTTTCACTTGCTGCTTATCTATGCTTACCGAAATTCTCAGGGGTTGCCCATAATTTCATCACCACCAGGACTACAATCATGTACAATAGCCCAATGCGACGGACCTTCGGGGTGTGCCTCGTAGAAGAGGATTACATTGCTCGTTTCATGGGACAACTTCAACACGCCCAGAGCTTTGGGTCCAACCCGCTTTTCTTCCCGATCATTCTACTCTCAACGAGCTTAAGTGCCTTGCAGTCAATGCAAGAAGAAACCTCCGAGGAGTGTTCAGAGCTAGAAGAGACCATGGGCTTTGACGATGAGAATCACGAGGTTGCATTCAATCAAATGGCAAACTTCACACGGATACCTCAACGCCTAAACGTATTGTCGGCTCATATAGCAAATATCCAGTACTACTGCTCCAATTATGTCGAGGCACTCAACTGCATAGAGGATCAGCTCCAGGCCCTACCTGATGGATATCGCACTAGTGTCTCCACCGAACTACAGGAGCAAATGGTGTACTTCCGAGCGTGCTCGGAAGGTATCGGCTTCGATACAAAACGAGGCAATACACTTGTCCAGTCTATGACACAAACGGTACATATTTCTCTTGCAACATCTATTAGAACCCTAGGCTTATGATTACAGGTTCATGCACAACTTCAGCAGAGAGACAACCAACTCAACCACCGGTACGGCGCCGATATGCGACTCATCACGGCGATCACTCTCATTTTTCTGCCCGGAACATTTGTCGCAACCTTTTTCAGTACTACATTCTGGGACTTTTCTCCCGACAATAACGGCACGAAGGTGACACATTGGGTGTATCTGTACTTCGTGGTTACGATAGGTCTGACCCTGGTGGTGCTTGTTGTATGGAGGAGATTCATTGCGCTTAAGCGACTGACGACGAAGATAGTAAAATCGGGGCGCCGACTCCCTTTATTAGGAAGGCTGATACGAGAGAAAAAGGTTGATGATGAGGAGTCGGGAAAGAAAGGTGACTGAGGCATATCTCATATGAATTTTGGTTAGATTCTTCTAGCCCATATAGCCGAATAAGCATGTGTTGAGCGTTGATGACCATGTTGTTCTGATAGAGCGGATGAGGCAAATCCCAACCATGGTACAGTCATCTCGCTAGTTCAGCGTTGTTTGCCCAAGCAAAAGTCGTCTCGCTCAATTTCTCACTGCACTCAACACATAACGAAACAAAATATCGAGAATCTACCGCTATCAGCGCAACACAATGGTCACCGTATGCCCAGAAAAGGTCAAGTTGGATTTGCTGCTACATACTGCCGTGGACCACGTGAAAGCGCAGGGTGTTGGTATCGGCATCTTACAGCAGGCTAGATGCGCAAAAACGGGCGACTTGATGCCAGGACTACTGCCTACCGAAGAGCGTAGATACGGCATTACACGCGCAAACTTTCCGACCGAAAACGTCAAGACACGCGAAAGAGCTGAGCTACTTGCTATATTACACGCTCTCGGTCTGGCTTCCAGCACGATCAAGAAACGATGTCCGCCAGATGTCAAACTGCGGACTATACAGATCTTTTGCGAACATCCGTCGGTTATATATACTGTCAAGCATCACCTTCTGTATTCTCCAGCGAGCCTCGAAGACGAAGTGAGTGGAAACGACCGCGCCATGATCAAGAGAGTTGTCCAAGCCATTCAAAAACTCGAGAGAAGATCTTTTGAGGTCTTCTTAACAATTGCAAACATGGAAGACGACGCGCAAAAGAAGGTAGGCTTGGCAGCAAGGCAACGAGGCAGTTTCGCGTGTAAACAACGCCGCCGGTTGCAGCACGCTGGGGAAAGAGCATCAACAGTAGTGCGCCGCACCTTGGAGAACGAAAACTCTACAGAAGCGCCCGTAGAGGGGATTCGGAAGCTCACATCACAGATGCAGGCATGTACAATAGAATAGAATGGATCATGAGTTGTATGGTAATATCTCTGCCAACACCGCACCGACGTGTAGCCCAAGACCAGCCAACAGATCAAGGAATACCATAGAGACGTGCATCCCAAGAGAAGATTGCATCCGGAATGAGGAATGTTGCAGGCTTTGGACGAGGACGGGGCCCAAAGGTGGCTGTAAATCGAAAAGACCGTGTGAAGATGATCGAAAGCGATGGCGGTACCGTACAAGGGACTTCACACTGCGATATGTGCGCGAAGGGGTGGAGATCGAGGTATGAGAAAATCGGGCTACCCATGGAGCGAAGTAGCATCGGAACGGAATCGAAATGATCTGTAACAAAACACATCCTCTTGTCAGCCGTCGCTGAGTGAGGTGCGGTGAGGACTGCGCGAAGCAGTAAAAACCCCGACCAATCCGGTATCCAATGAGACGGCTAATAGGTTAGTGAGCCTCTGCTCGCGAGAAGTGCTGTGTTGGTAGAAGGCAGAAGGTGGCGTGGGCAGGTGCCTGAAGGTCATGTTGGTGACACGAGCGCAGCCGGCGCCGACTGGCCTTAAGCCCTCGCGGCGCGAAGAGGTCGCAAGCTGCCTCTGGGGCATTCTAAGAGTTTCCGTAGGTTCTTCAGTATGCAAGGGCGAGTAATCTACTGGCTCGTTCCTCGTGATGAATGCAGAGTGCGCATTCGAGATAGTGGCGAGGAGGTCGTTTGGTAGGGCATATGTGGCACCCATGGAAAGCGGCGCTGGTCGGTGGTACCGCATCAGGCAGCCGCTGCATGCAAGAATCGCGCCATAGCTTTCCCACGGTCTACAAACGGCAAGACTCAACTTCACAACAGAGATCTCGATTCTCTCTCTTTACACTCCCCTGCAGCCGACTTAAAACCTACCTCTAAAATGACCACGACCGCACGCGCGAACGATGTGTCGACGATGGGGCCTCAGGAGCGTCTACGCGCTTTGTCAGCAGCACACTACCCCTCCAAAAGGGCGAACATCGACATTACGAAGGTTGCCATTCGCGAGAGGACAAATCTGCGCCCGAGAGGGCCCATGTCGTATTCATCAGAGGAGCAGCAAGCGCTTGAGGAGTGGCGCAGGTGTGCTTTGCTCCACATCGATCGGCGCATCGCAAACTATCAACGTCGCCCCGCGCGCAGCAACATTCCCAGTGTACCTACCCGTATGGACGCCTCGCGTGGACATCGGGTCCTCGAGATACCTGAGTTGCTCGACATGATCCTCCAGTTTGCGGGTTCTGAGGCACAGGTGTCGGCGTGGAACGTGTCGCGAGTCTGGCGGCGCTCGTCGAAGTCGGTCATCAGCAGCCGCCACAGGCATTCATATTG